AATCTAAGACCACAAAAATATTTACAAAATATTAAAAATAAGTCTCACACACGAATATTTTATAAATATTAATAATATAACTTTAAGGGGGCTAATTTGGAGTCAGCGCGGTAAGAGGTGCGCATTTAATATTTAAACAAACATTAATAGTATAATGTGTTAGGATGTTAGTCCGTAATACACATTATACTATTAATGTTTGTTTAAATATTAAATGCATACCTCTTACCGCGCTGACTCCAAATTATATATATATAGCCCCCTTAAAGTTATATTATTAATTTTATAATTAAAGGAGTCCTTTTTTACGTTTACTTATTTATTATATATTATTTTGTAAATATTTTATGAATGTTGTGTGCTGTCTGGGAGTTATATTACGTGTTTAAGTATAAATTTGCCTTGTCGTTATATCGCTGCTACTTCAAAAGATGTAGCTATTAACGATAAATATTAATTAAAAAACCACAAAATTGTAACATTAACGATAAAATGTTAATAAAAATATCATCAAATTATTATAGTATAAGTTACTGTTATCACTTGTCTTGTGAAACAAATTATAACTTTTGAGAACACGTTAGCTCAATAATTCTTTAAATAAACACATGTCCAATAATAAATTCTGTTCATTTTTTATATTATTTCTCTTTAAACGATATTCTTTACATATCCTTACACCTAACGTTAATCAAAATTCGTCTGATCTTCATTTAAAAAAAAATTGAAACTTTTATGTCATCGTATAAGAAACTCGTCCACTAGAAAATCTACAAGGTCTTTTCCTGTCTGAAAAACGTTTGTCTTGTATAAAAAATGTTAGTTTTGTGTAAAAAAAATATGCACACTAATTGTTCAAAATGAAAAAAATGGGGATAAATGAGTGTAACGAACACCAGCGAGATTGATTAGTACGGGTGGACTTGGCCGGCCGAATATCTGTTGACGCGGGAGCGATGGCGACGCCACGCATATACGCACGTATTCCTCGCTCGTGGTGTGCGTGCTTGCATGAATTTCTGGCGGTACGCGTTATACGCAGTTTCTACGTGCGCTCGAAGAAAGGAACGGACCAGAGAGCGAACGCAGCGTTGTTATGGCTACGATGGAGTCGCGGTCACGGCTCTCTTGCCGGGCCTCTCCGTTCTGACGGACCCATTCTGAGGAGCACCAATTTCGTCCCTCCCATCTCAAAACGCTTGAGAAATATACACGGTTTACCATTTTAGCTGATTAGTAATTAGTTTAAGTTAATTAAATATTTTGGGATATATATCTTCTAGGAAAACTAATTTTACGAACATTTTGTTGAGAGAAATAAAAAAGTATTCGCGTACATAAAAGATGAATAATATAGTTCTACAAGAAAGATATTTTTTGTAAAAATAATTATAAAAAATTATAAACAAAATTTGGGAAATGATACAACATATGTAGGTATATAAGATAAATGTATTAATAACTGAATTAATAAGAAGTCATGATCAGTTGTGTATTAATTATTATTGATTATTAATGTAGCGGCATCATAAAAAGAAGTTCATGTAAAACTTTATCGGTAATCGAAAACTATCGATACTATCATATAAATTTTTTAAAAAGCAGAAAAAATTTGATTGATATATTACACCATATTGATAGTGCAATAACTGAATTTCTAATAAAATAAATTTTCAAAATTTAATTTTTGGTTTTTTTACAATTAAAAAATATACTACATGTTTGAGTAAATACAGTACAATATTTTAAAAATACATTGCAAAAATTAAAAAATATAGATACTATGTTTTACTCAAGATGGTAAGAAAATTAATAAAATTATAAATGTGTGTGTGTGTGTGTCTCTTCTACGAACTTGAAGAGAACAATTTTTCGCAATAATTTGTAAGAAAAAATTATATATACTTTTATTACTTATTTTGATGTAAGTATTTAAATGCTTTCTAGTTTTCTATTATTGACAAATAATAATTATATACAAATATATTATTAATTTTTCAATCGCTGGCATATTTAGTTATTGGCATATTTATTACTTATGTATATTAATTATAATTCAAATGTATGTCTTTTTATAAATAAAAAATTATATTAAATAGAGTATCTTAAGACCGCAAATGTAAATACACACTGAGTAACGAAAACTTTGTCGATCTGAGCTGAATCTTAGTGCTTGAATATTTTCGATGAGAATTTATATACATATCCAATTTTACAAACTGGAATGTATATAATGCGCTGAAATTATTTAATTAGATGCGATCTCTGATTTTCGTATTGTAAAGTTCGATGGATTTCATGCGTCGCTTCAAGAATTTTGCTCTCGATCTCGTCGTCTCGATCGAGAGATTAAGCTTACGTTGCCTGATCTTATCGTAATTTGCAGTGCCTGTTATGTCAATAAACGGTTGAACACGCGTCCGGCATTATCTATGCGTGACTCCATCTACGTTTTTTTCTCTACGTCTCACCCACCGCTTTTCTTCCGAGTGTATCATTTACCAATGAACCTCGCGCGTAACATAACAACCCCAGTGTTACGTATAGAGCTGCCAGATCTTATCTCCCTATTCATAATCGTCACAAAGGACGTCAACACGATGCAGACATTAATTAGATAAGCATATGAGCATTAGATAATCTCCCGAGAGAAAAGAAAACCGAACAATGCTACCTCTCCGAAGAATGTCTCACTCGCTCGATTATCATATCGAGTAGAGTAAATGCTTCTATGATTTTAAGATATGGTAAATGTTCCTATATTAAGTAAAACGTAAGAATTTGTATATGGAATAAAATATCTATTCAAACTACGAGAAAAAGAGAAATACCTTACTTTAATGTTTTCTCAAATACTGAGTTTAGTAACAAATTCTTCTGTAACGTAATCCTTATCACAATTTATATATGTATTCACTAATATAATATTCCAAATAATATAATTTAGTTTTCACAGTCATAATTACTTTTATTATAAAACATAAAATTATTTTTAATAATCTAGATTAAAAATAATTTTATAACACATCAACTTTTTCAGCTCTTTAAAAGTAGGATTCCTCCCTCCCTAAGTTATATTACTTTTAAACTCTGTGTGTATGTGTGTGTATTTGTGATACTCCTGGTTTACATTTTATATAAAAATAGAAAAAAGTTTTGTTTAAAATACAATCGAAAAGTCCTCTTAAGGCTCCTAAGTAATTACTACAGCCATATTGAATCATGTCAAAAGCGACATTTAAATTTTTGTTAAGTGCTAATGGTAAATAAAGACAATTTGGATAAAACAAAATGATGAAATCATTTTAAAACATTTGTAAAAAGAACTATACTTATTACCCTTAACAATCAGTAAATAATCGTAAAAAGTAATGAAAGGCACGTGAAGTGTTTTTATTCAATGCGCATGCGTAGCCTATTTTCACTTACACGTGCCTTTTATCTCTTTTTACAATTATTTACTGATTGTCAGGGGGGATAAGCATAGTTTTCGTTCATGTTTACAAATGTTTTAAAGCGATCTCATTATTCTATTTTATCCAAATTGTCTTTATTTACAAATAGCATGTAATAAAAATTAATATGTTATTTCTCGCTTCTGACTTCTGATTTAAGTAGTTCTAAATCCCTATTTCAAACATCTTAACCTGGAATGAATTATGTTTTCCTGTACCAATTTGGAACAAAAGAACACATGTTACAGAACACTTGTTGATTTCTAAGGAAAAGGACTACGCAGACCCTTAGTCAATGCCCTGTGTCAGACATATATTTTTCATTATTACGTAAAAAATATCAAATACAGATTAAGAAGCAATAACCATACGATACACGTCTTAGGGGTATTGTTACGGAGTATGCCTACGCCATAAGGTTATATCCTTTTTTTTCCTAAACAATATTATCCTTTTGTTGCCTTGCACGGCATTGGAAGACTTTTGAAGAACTTTTCAAAAGTGCACTGAGAAGACTGGTCTGATTGAATTAAATAGCAATTCTGGTGAAAAATAGATACAGAAAAAAATGTTAGGGTTACCACAACCAGAAATAATGATAATTTTCGCCCATCAATATATTTGGTTGTGACAACCGTGTAAGATGGATATATCTTTACAGCCATAACCGTTAAGATATGCCAATCTTAAGCTTATCACAATCGTACTATAGTTCCTATATCCAAAAAATATATTGATGAGCGACTTTTGATCGTGACAAATGTAGCTGTTTTTTCCATGGACGAATCAGAATTTTCTAATTAAACCTATTAGAATTCTAGTTGGGATAACTAAAATTCTGATTGATATAATTATTCTGGTAAAAATAAGAATTTTAGTAGATTTTACCAGAAATATTATATCAACCAGAATTCCGATTATCTCAACTAGAATTTTAATAAATTTAACTAGAGAGAAAATTCTGGTTCGTCCATTTTCAAACAGAAATTTTTTTCTATGTGTTCAAATAATTACCGTCCATAATTATTCCCCTCGGGGAAAATCCTCCCGGACGTTTCTGGAAGCCTTAACAAAGAAAAAAGGATGTCCGAGAAAAAAAAATAAATGGCGATCCTAATTACGAAAGGGGAATGACCCTTTCGTAATCGCTGCGAATGACCAGAATCTATTATTAATTACAATCAATTACAAATTTATTTATTAACTGCGTCTGATTCTCATTTGCCCGACATATATTTCTTGATTTATTTTTAATTCCAAAAGAAATATTTGTACAAAAGGAAAATCGAATTAAGTAGTTCTATGTGTAATCATCCGCGCGTATTAAAATATATTTGCAATTTAAGTGTTCTCTTCTAATTTTTAACATTTTTAAAGATTTGTATAAATTTATTTATATACAAAAAGGACTCACGTTCTCGTTTGTGGCGTACGATCACGCTGTCGACGATTCTTGAACCAATTGGACACCTG